GACACAGCCAGGAACCTGAGCACTAGCTTACTGAGCCATCTCATGGCTGTTTCCCATCATTCATTAAGAATACCTTGGCTGTGGGTGTTGGAGCTTAGACCTTCTTGCTGCATTTTCAGGCCACAATTCTAGCCTATCCGTTATCTCCCTCTCAGGACTATCTTTCTCTAGCTCCTCTCAACTTGGTTCTAGCCACTGTTTTAGCGCCCATCTTGAATCACCCCAAAGCCAAATCACCCTTTTGGCTTCTGTACCCACTATACCAGCAAGCAAAATGGGGGCCCACAATGGAAAACCTTGACTCTTTATGTAGTGGGAATCAACATGTTTTTTTCCTTTATCTCTTTGCTCTTGTTCCCTAACAGCTTTCACTGCCGATAGCTCACGACCTACCAGCTCTATCCTAACTGGGTACATTTTCTTTTGGTACTGACTGATGCTTCTGCAACACTGTGCTCTGTGATGTTCCAGGTCCTGGCTGAAGCCAGAGGTCCTGGCCTGATGCTGTGTACTGTTTGCTGGCCAAGATCTTCACTTTGCCGGGTGCGGTGAGGTGCTCAGTCCTGCAGTGTACATCTCCTGAGCTCTGCAGGGTAGCCTTCTGGTCGAGTCCAGCCAATGGGTGGCAGAGACAAAAGGATACTTTCTCCACAACCAGGTTTCTAGCTCTCACAGCATGCCCTTTCCTCTGTATTATTCCCTCACTCTGTTACCAGCCCAGGGGAGAAAAGGCCTTTTCATACTTGTTAGGTAAGGTGCCTTATCTACCTCGATTTATCTGGCAAATCAGCTTGCAAAAGTCTAAAAATAATCATTTCCTCGGTTCTTCAACTTATCCACCTACAATGACTCATGGCTTTCTCTTATATAAGCTTTATGAAACTTAAAAGTTTCAACACGTAGGAATCATATAGTTTGTATTAATTACTTTAATAATACTGTGACAAAAATATTGGACAAGCACTTAAAGGAGGAGGACTTTATTATGGCTCATGGTCTCGGAGGATTCCGAGTGTGCTTGTCTGACACCGTGAACCTGGGAAGAACATCACGGCAGCAGGAACATCTGTGAGGATGTTACTTCATGGCAAAAAGGAAGCAAAGAAGGAGGAGACTGGGAACGAGGTGTAACCTTGAAGAGCTTGCTCTTAGAGAGAGTCACTTCCTTCGTCTATATCCCACCCACCAAAACGGAAGTACTATAAGGGAATCGAGCCTGAGAGAAGCATTTCATACCCAAGCCATGACTCAAGTTTTCATGCTTCAGTCTTTGGGGATAATCAAAAACTACAGATGCCAAGATTTCAAGCAGCACAATGATTGGTTCTGAGGCGCACCAGAACTCCAGCAGGTCCTTTGTCACTGTGCCTTCTTCGAGTGTTGCTGACATTGCTGCTACTCTTCTGGTTGAAGGAAGGGCAAGACTGGTAGACAGTGATTCAGGAGGCAGAAATCACACATAAGCCCAGGTTTGATGTGACTGTCCTAGCAAGATGGGGTTTGGGGAAAACCAAGTTGCATTCTGGCCAATGGAGAACATATTCCTAGTATTGGATTAGCCTCTTTAGAACTGGAAGAGTTCATAACTTCCCAATGGATGTATTTTCTTATAGTTTGCTTTTGTGTTTCAGGGAAATTTTGGTGATTGATGTCTCTAGAATAACTTAATGGATCAGATCAACATGATCGCTACATTTCTAATATTTTGTTTTCAGTGGGGCTATTTTTGACTTTTGGTGGTGCCTAGATGCACTGTGGTGCCACTTTATGCCTTTTCAGATGATGTAAGCACAGGGGGAAGAGCAGCGTGGGAAAGGCAGAATCCCTCAGTGGAGGCAAAGGAGGGGACAAGGTCTAGTGATAGGGAGCCCAGACCCCAAGAAGATGTTCGAGGCACACATATAGAGATGGCCAGCTTTGGGTATTAGTTATCCGTGCCGCCTTCACAATTAGGAAAAAGTCAGCATCATCTGACCTATGTAGATAGCTTTCTCTATAAACGAGGATTCCAGAATGGAGAGTTATGTAAGATTTTACACAGAAGATTTTGCACCCTAAATTTTGACACATTTTAGCACATCACACGATGCTATAACACAGTTCTCAGGGATCACAATGGCTTGGAGAGTTGTAAGAAACGGCTGAATGGCTGCGCCCCGACATAACCCAACCCAGGCATGCTTGATGTGTTCCAAGTTCAGCTGGCCGGTGCTTACAGCAAAGGACACTTTTGCTGGACTCTTAATACTTATCTTTATTATGAAAGTGTTTCCAAGGTAAAATGATCCTCATAATAACGATTACTTCCAAAGATCAAGAATGAATAATTATATTTGCATATAAAAATCAGCAAAACACGGTAACAGTACACGGAATAATTCTAACCGGCTAATGGTACACTATTTCACTTCTGACAGAAGCTCAAGTACTGAACTGTCTTTAGAAAACACAGAGCTTCCGGCACCTACCCTGGTCCTCACTGAAAGTCGGAAAAGAGAAACAAATCCCAAATTAACCACCATCCTTTTCGATGACAGCAAACGGCCATGAAGGGAAATGAATAAGACGCAGGCAAAGGAACGATGAAGACCGGGGGCTTAGGGGAATCAAACTAGCGTGTGTTTTCCACATTTATGTTAATTAACCGTCGAGCAGAAGTTCCAGAATCATCACAGAACTATTCCAGAGCTTTGAAGCTAACATGAAAAAAAAAATATTCTTCACATTAAGGAGTTTTACAGAGAGCTTATGACATTCACTGTAGGTAAAAAGGGTAGGAAATATGAACGAAATCAACTTTTTCACTGAATACAGAAGCTCGGTTCCCAGGCAGCTCATGGTACAGGAAGGCAAGCATTCGTGGACCTGTGCTAAGGAAACATGGGCACACCTTTTAATTTTTTTTTCCTCCCAGGAAAATGGGCCCGGACACAGGAGCAGGTGTGGGAATAACTGATCTAATGGTCACAGGTAAACTGAAAGCAGAAACATGTTCGCATTTGGCTTTCTCTTACCAGAGCTGCAGAAGGCTAAAGGATGATTTAGTGAATGAGATAAAGTGGGACCAGTTCTAGGCTAGTGGAGGCCTCTCATCACTTCCTGGCAATGCTGGAAATACCCAGTTTCATACAGATGCCATATGCCATCCTGTGGCAGAGGCCTTTTTCACTTCTTAGACTTGGTGAGGCCTCAATGCACCCATCCGCCAATGCATTCTTTTCAAAGGCTCTGGTTAAATTCAAGTCACAAGACCATGCCAGAGGCCAAGGTCCTCCTGGGGTGCCTACAGATTTCGTTACTTATGATGATTTATGTTCTTCATTACAGTTTTCTTCATGAAAACTGTACTGGGTACTGGTTACCGGGGTTTCAACAGCTGTGGTCAGGGCTCCCTCACATCTGCTTGGCGCCCCCTTGGGGCGGGTTGGTGTTATGTTCGCACAGGCAAACCACGGGGCTCTCGTTTGGTCCCTGAGTTTGTAGAGCTAAAATGTGATTAGTAGAATATTGCTAATTAGTCTATGGCATTTGGAAAACGGCACAATTTCAGCTCAGCAAGGGAGGCTGATATTGGGAAGAAGACAAGTGAGAAAAAGTCTGCGGTCATTCCTGGCAGGGACAACACAGCTGAGGCCAAGTGCGATAGTTAGAGCTCTCCTCGTTTCTTCCCGCACAAGAACCCGGAAGGGTCACACCATCACTGTCCTTTCAGGCTGACTTTTACCTCACTTCATCTTTTTCTCATTTGGATGTTATAGAAACATTTCAAGGCCATGGTTTTTTATTTATTAAGCAGGAACAAGTCAGAGACAAGAAAGTAAGCGCGTGAGAGCCGGAAGGCCATAGATGCCGCATAAAATGTGAACACTTAGCCTTTTCTTCCCAAACGTGGTGAAGCCCCTGGATATGACATTGTCTCCCATACTGATCAGTGGACCTATAGACACCTTTGGAGCATAATTCTGTATGCTTTTTACACTTCAAATTAAGAAAAATACTCAACTGTCTGGGCAACTTTGGCATTAATTTCCACCCAAATGATTACTAATACAAGATGATTGGGTTGGGGACCATCAAGGGTGCCATCCGTTCTCTCAGGAGAACTTGTCAGCAAAGATGTAGGTAAACTACAATGAAGTCATTTTTAACATTTTACAGCAAAGTCTCATTCTTACTTAGCCCAAAAAGCAATGAGATTTAAGTGAAAGATGGAAGACTCAGACCTTTCTAAAGATGAAGGAAGGTATTCAGTTTGCTCAAACTCACACTCTACCAAGTATACATGTCCCTTAACACGTTCTGAGAAAAGTGTCCTTAACTGATCTTTGCCATTCTATGAACGTCGCTGAGTGTACTCACACACAAGCAGACAGTATGGCCTCTCAGTGCCTAGGCTGGCACCATCTTTTGGGAGCGCGGTAGCACATGCTGCCCATCCGTGAGCGCAGTGCTGTGGCTGAGTGCATGACTGTGCTCGGATGAAAAGCTGACGTTGTGAGACTCCCCCATCATACGGACTGAAGATCTGACCTAGCTTTGCTTGCTCCCTGCCTCGACTACCTTGTTCATCTCTGTTAGATGCCAGCGGCACAATCCGAGGGGGATGTGGGACACCCTCTGCACAGCAGTCAGCAGCTTTAGAGCCCTGGGGTTAAACGGCAATGATCCGCGTTTTTACAGCAAACACTCGACCGACCCCCAATACTGACACTTGTGGCTGCTCCTTTCCTCTCAACATCCACGGGACTGGGTTGGAGACAGAAGCTTGGCGCCTGTGTGAGAGCAGGTGCTCTAGGACCTGGGTTCTGTCTCAAGGAGCTTGGTGGATAAGAGGCTGAAAGGGTAGGGCTAAGCTCAGCAGGTGGGAAGCAAACCAAAGGAGAAGGGAAGCGTCTAGAGTACACGTGAATGGATTTTTAAAATGGAAAGAATATGGGTGAAGATGAATCAGTAATAATTTGGTTTTACTGGTTTTTTGGAAAAACATACATATACACACATAAACCACACACAGCATTTATTGACTCAAGGCCAAATTCTACTTGATTTCCCACGTTCCCCCCCACTAAATCTAGGTAAACTATAACACTGGAGATCAAAAGTCACGTTTCCTAGAGTCCTTCCTACACACAACTTGGTACCCTGGGGAAATCTGAATGCGACCAGGAGGAAGGGAACATCACCACAGGCTAAGCTAATTAAGAAGAACACTACTCAGAACTAACCTATAGCTGGATTTACAAATCACACTTCTGAAAGCTGTGGCCTGGCACAGGTGGACAAGATTCCTCACACAGTGCCCGTTCTCAGTCTTATCTGGGCACTATGGGAGAACAGGAAGCAGAGATGATAATATTCTATTCCAGGAAAAGCCTACAAACTCCATTTCAATTCACCGAACAGAATTATTTTCTCTAGAATGTAAAATGAAACAAAAATTTGTAGACACGCAGAAGAATGAGTCATGCTAATGGGATCAGAAAACACGTCCCTGGTCTAGCAGGTTTAGAACTGCCTTTGACACGGGCAGAATCAACTTACTTCATTTTACATACCTCTTCTGAATTTACAAACTGATCTTAAAATTCTTCTGTGCAAAAAAGGGTCACCTAGTTCAAATTCAAATACACGGTGGTCCTCAAGTTCATCTCACCCCTGGGAGGATGTGCCCAGATATTGAAGCAAGATGGGCATGCTCCCTAGCTAAGATGACGAGAAAGGTTCACCCTTCAACACTGCTATTGTTTTTACCTATTTGCATTTGAGCAAATGCTCTGAATACTAACAATACCTTTGGTGTCTTATCACTGGTCTCATAAACTCAAACACTTCCAAGTTTCACTGTTAGACATATAAATCAGCCAAGCTCAAGTCACAGTCGGTTGCGCTGTCTTCTACAGCAACAAGTAGACATGCTTCCAAGCGTTTAAAATGATGATCTGGACCATACCAGAAAATACTGTTTTGTAATTGGGTGGGGAAAGAGCTAACATTGCAGTGAGAGTTCTTCAGGAATTTTCACTTACCTAGTCACTCACAGGTTTCAGAGTAAGGGTATAAAGATTTAATTAAAGAAAAACCAAATGAACTATGGATGGCCGTGGGCAGGACAATGACATGCCCTGCGGCATTTTGCTTTTGGCTACTCAGTGCCCGTATTTTTTTGATTCCTGTTTTAGGTGATGCTTGACTTAGGAGTATTTGTATAACCGTTCAATTCCCTTTTTACTAAAGACGAGATGAGATAAAATCCTTGGCTCAAACGTGTGGTTTTTGAAGCCACATGCCAATGATAGTGGCCTGGGCGTGTGTGTGTGTGGGGGGGGGGAAGGGCGCTCATGAACTACTCTTTGGTAACTTTCCTCATGGCTGTCACTGCCATCGTCCAGGAGAATTTTGGCCATTTTTCTGGAAATAGCTCCACTTGAATAAAAATTCTTAGGAGCCCCCACGAGTCTTCAGAGAGGTAAATAAACCAGCCTTGCAGTGCAAGCCTGATACTTTTAGCAACAAGAAAGTCATTATGGGATGCAGTTAAGGAGAAAGGCGAAGGGTAAATGGTTTTTCTCCCACAAGTCTAACACTAGGGAGGGCTTTCTCTTGAGAGCTGGCGGCAGTATAGCGCTTTGCACGCAAGGTAGCTTTGCCAGCTCTTAAAAGACTCATTCTTTTTTCTGCCTCAAAACATTCTTGGCTTCTTCTTTTTCTTTTTCTTTTTTTTTAACACGGCAAGACAGAAGACTGGGCTAATACAGTAGGAATTCTGGAAAAAAGACCTGGATGAAGTCAGTTGCTATCTTTATGTGATTCCCAGAACACAGAGCAAGTCTCCAGTATGTGGGTCCCTTTGTGTCTGTGAGCTTAAGCAAGTGACATTGTTTCAGAATCAGAACACTGGCCTCACTGGAGGGCAAGATAACTTTGTTACCAACAAGGTCAACTCCAGACCACACCAAAGAAATCTCATATTTGTAAGCAAGAGACAAACTATTCCAAAGCAATTTCATATAAAGTTCCAAAGTCCCCTAAGAGCTAGCCTCTTTCATTTGAACTGCTATTTGACCACAAAGAGTAAAAACTAAAACACCGGGTTCATCCTGTTTAGACTCCCACGGGACAACAGTCACCGGCTATATATGGGCAGTCACAAAATGGGTGCAGAACAGAAAGAAAGCCAACCTATTGGGAGCTGTGTGGGGGATCTTGCGCGGGGTTTTACTTGCTCTAAGTGATGAAGTAAGCTGACGCCGATGCTCACGGCACACTGGACTACAACATGAGAAGCGGGTAGAACAGACGGAGCATCTCCTTCACGGTCAGTCACGAGCCCAGAGGAAAAGGAGTGAGGGGATCCTTGACTGTCCACAGATTTACAAACAAATAAAAAAATAAATAATATTCTAAGACAAATGCAAATATTGTTCCCTTGTGTCAGTTACATACAGCATGCCTACATAGGATGGGATTTCTTCTTCATTCACAGACAGGACACATGGCAGTACACTATTCAGAATGCTTTGAGAATCCTAATTTTTTTTGTTTTTGTCTCTGGTGATGAGATATCAGGAAAGGAACTGCATTTGCAACTTATTAAATACTTCCAGGAACAAACAGTTCACTTTGTTGAGGACTTATAGTTTTGGGTAGTCAATCATCCATGGAGCATGGACCAGTCAGGAGATACCCGTTGGTACCACTGGTTCCGTTAGTGGTTGTCGAAGTGTGCGGTTTCTTCCCTGGAGGTTCTGAGTCCTCATCATCCGAGCTAGATTCAATATCACTCCGGTCATCCTTGGATACCTGCGGAACACAAGAGCCAGAGTGAAACCAGCTCCGAGGACCGGCAGGGTAGCGCATGCCCCGCAGCTCATGTGGGATGAACCTAATCACATGTGACAAACAACAAAGAGGGGGACACTGCCATGGTAGCGTGTACTCTTCCATGGAGAGATATAATGTGTGTGACACAGCAGGTTGTGATGAATGTACGCGGATTTAGACACCACAGAGCCTGAAGGGTATCCTCCACCATGGAGAATGCCTAGACCATGAATCCCATTCTTACCCATAGTGATAGTGGTATCTATGCTACTAGGATGTCGCTTGAGGACAAATGAGTCAATTTGTTCACCAATAGCCATATTCTCCTTGACAATTACTTAAGGTTAACTCTCAATTACCACGCTAACAGAGATATACACACAATCGCTCAAACCATTAAAAGCAAATCATTGCTGTCTGGCCCTGTAATTCATGGTATTATATTTAATTTCCCTTTCTTCTTTGCTGAAGTGACGTTGAAATTTGTTTCAGATGCGACATAATAACAGACGTCACCAGCTGACATTCTAAAGGCTCTCTAGACGAGACAGGGTCTCAACTTCTGCTAGGCAGAAATCTACTGGCCAGATCCGCAGAAATTCTTTCTTATGTGCCAGTTTCTTCAATTTCCCACTCAGTTTCATTAAGTAATGAGGACAGGAAAATAAGACACATGTCTATATGTTAACGTGACATGTGAAAAACACTCCTTCTATGTATGGACTATGGTTATTAGTGAAGAAATTGACTCATTTGTCCCCAGTTCCTAAAGCGACATCTTAGTAGCATAGATACCACTATCACTATGTAGCAAGGAAACACTATATTGATTTTAAAACAAATAATTGGAATCCACTTCTCTGCAGGTCAAATTATAGCCAGCATCTAAACGTAGAGGGTCTTAAGATCTTTCAGCAATAGTCAATTTTTATTGACTTAATTAGTCAGTTTTTATTTCGATACCCCGTCTCATTGTGTAGCCCAGACTTTGCAGCAATTCTACTTTAGCCTTTGGGTGATGGGATTCTGGGTATCCACCCACATGCTCAGCTTCGTTCACATCATTGAGCTGGATGTCCAGAGGGTCCTGTTGGCCTGGCTTCATGGGAATCTTCCCAGCCTGGTCCCAGTGACTCCCTGGGGGGCTGGATGGACTGACTCTCAGAGCCTCTGGAAGATGTCTCAGAATTCCTGGGGGACTTTCATATGGCATCCTGTCCTCAGCACCGTCAACCCGAGAGCTGTGGAGTCTAGTACCCAGAAACCACGAGGGAGTGAGGACTTCATCACTGGTAGGCGGGGAAACGCAAAAGCTGAGAACTATTGTTCCGCTCTAACCAGTGATGGGCTGAATAGCGTACACACGTGATCCTCAGTTCAAAGCCCTCTGAGGTGAGCTCACATAGACAGTCTCACTCCGAAACAGAACAACGACAAACTTAGGCACTGAGGCCACAGATGGCTGAGGGGATGAGAAAATTTCAACTCAAAAGGCATGAATCATAGACAGTACCGCTGCAGAGCACCACCATATCAAGTCTATTAGTACCGAATCAAGGAGCTAACAGAGGACTCCAGATGCAGACGGTATCAATTTGCCTGCCTAGTAAGATTATTTTAAATTACATGTGGAAAAAAAAACCCACAGTTATGATACTGTCAAAGAAAAAGGACAATTTAGAGCGCCTAAAAATAACGCACAAGAAGAGCCCACGGACAGGAGCAGTTTCACTGCGTTAGGTGAGAGCAGCAACGGCCGGGAAGAAACCCTGAGGCCGAAGCTGGGGAACGTAATTAGTGACGATTTCCTCGCGGAGATGAAGGACTAGCAGCTAGAGGGGAGAGGACAGGGCTGGTGGAAACAGCAATGCGCTAAGGAGACAAGTAATCTCATCCAGCACGCCCGTCATCCTCCGTTATTATCTCTATGCACAGGGATTTAATTTGTGTCCAAATGAAGCCCAGAAAAATTTCAAAAGCAACATGAGTTCATTCTAAAGAATAAGAAGCCACAAGAGAAAGAAAAAAAAAAAAAGAACTTCCTCTCCTAAGAACTTAGCCCATCAAAATATTTTGGATTTGTATAGGCGGTGGTGTTGAGGACTGGCTTCAGAGATCATGACAAGTCACCCAGATGTCTCCCGAAGAGGGGGCCGATTCTGTGGACCTCCCTCACTGAGGACAGAGGGTCAAATGCTACTCTGTTTTCTGAAGATCGGGACACCTATAGCTCAGGTCTCTTTCTATACCACAGCGATCAGCTGGTTCTGTTCCTCCCACTTCACACTGAACTGTTTCAGTCTCTTAGCGGACATGTTAGACACCAGTAGGAAAAAAATCTCCCCCTTCCTGCTGGACCAGCAGGATTTTCAGGCTCACACAAAGGGGCAGTGACGGAACTCCCCCTGGAATCTTCTGTAGTTCGCGGAAACTATGGCTGCCACGAAGCTTCCAAGAGTGCCAGCCGGTTAGAAGGAAGAACAAGCATGGAACAGAGCCCGTAAGCACCCCTCCAGCAGGCAAGTGTCACCCAGGACAGCAAGAGAGAAGACAAGAAACTTACATGTAAAGGGTTCCACTTCCCAGCCTTCCAGGGTGGCAGGAGGAAGAGAACAAAAAATGAAATAAGAAAACATCACGGACAACGATCTGGAAAATTCGCTGCTCTAGGCAAAGGGGCTGGCTCTCAGGAAGGCTTATTTCAGTCAGCCAGCCCCATGATTCCATTTTAAAACAGAGACAAGTCAATTTTGTTGGAGAAGTCATGGACGTATTTATTCTTCTACTGGAGAGAAAGGGCTGCTTAAAAATGGGCACGCGACACTTAGCAATCCTTCCATGAAAACAAATAAATTATTAAATTAAATTTCTGTTCACGGTAAATGACCAGAGAAAGTCCAAGGTGGAGAGAGGAAGAAAAGCACAATAGATAATATGTCATCATTAAACCTAAAATTGTAAATTCTGGGTTTCAGCAACCACAAAGCAACAGAGAAACTTTAAAAATGAACCAAATGGGAGGAAAATAATTTGGTTTGTGTTTCAAGGTGGTTTTGGAAGGAATACCACTTCCAAATACGTGATTTCAAAGGAGCCAAAAATACCCTGACATTTCTGGGACATCTCGGAGAGAGTGAGTCTTATCTTACCTTGCCTTTTGAAACAGCTTTGCAGGCTATTTTTACAATCAAGTAAGACCAGAAGCAGTTCAGCCCTTGTAGTAGCAACAGCAGCAGGTTAAAAACCCACCAGGAAGGGAAGGGTCCGACGATCTCCCAACTTTCGAACAACGTGGTGTTTAACACCCTGAGGAGGAGAAGAAGGCCATTACTGAACACAGCATGCCACTCTGTTCTAAAGGAGCCCTAGCGGGTTTCCAGGGAGCGCAGGTCAACTGTCTCTCCCAGCGGCCCCCTCCCTTCCTGCGCAGACAGCTTGGCAGTTACCAGGTACTGAGGAGCCGTCCCTGGCAACCGTGCCCTGATGGTGTGAGCTGCAGCGATTCTATCAGTGAAGTGTGCACTTCACTGGCATTGTGCAAATCCACACACCTGTGTAACCACCACCACCCACTCCCCGAACACTTGAAAAAAAAGGAGTGGCTCTCTACCCTCTGCCCCAAGCAACTTCCATTTTCTGCTTCTGTGAGCTGAGCTACTAAGATCTGTTTGTGGAATCATGAAGAAAGGATTACTGGTTCCTTCTACCAATTCTAAGGTTTATCCATTTTGCATGAAGTTTGAGGATTTCTTTCCTGTGGAAGTGTAGGTACATACCACACTTTGTCTCTATATTCACCCACCAGCAGACATCTGGCTTGCTTCCCTCCTTTGGCTACTGTAAATATTGCTTCTAAGAGTTAAGGCTCAGGGCTGGAGAAATGGCCCAGAGGTTAAGAGCGCTGGCTGCTCTTTCAGAGGTCCTGAGTTCAGTTCCCAGCAACCACATGGTGGCTCACAACCATCTGTAATGAGATCTGGTGCCCTCTTCTGCTCTGTTGCCATACATGTAGGCAGAAATCTTTGTGTGTGTATGTATGTACATATATATGTATGTACATATATACATATATATGTATAAGTAAATCTTAAAATAAAAGTTTGGGCTCAAACAAGGATCTGTTCTAGCACACATCTTCTGGCTCTACACATAGAAGCAACAGTCTTGACTTCTCCTTCCCTTCCTTTCATTCACTGTCTCCTCTATGAATTCCATTCATCATTTGCATTTACTTCACCAGCTAACAACTAATGTAAAAGGCCTACATTGTCTTCAAGATGTTGATTTTCTCTTTCTATAGTGTGAGGAACACCACCCAATACTACATAGCAAGAAAAAAAAAATAGGGTGAACTCTTAAACCTGAGCTCAGCGCAGAGCTCCTGAAGCACACAGCAGCAACTAGAACATGCAGGGGAGCCAGCCAGGCTTGCATCTGCCTGGGGCTCCACTAGAGGGCTCTTAATTGTCTAATTCTTCCCATGGGGAAGGAATGACAATTGAAAGACATCATTTGGAAGTGATACCCTGATATGAGTATTTGAAAGATTTGTTTTTAACAAAAAATTAGAGGGTATAATAAAGGTACTTAGTTTTCAAAGTGCATTGGAGTGTATGTACTTGAAAAAAAAAAGTAATTGGTTCTATAATTTGCAACAGGACCCAGCAGGGGGCAACCACGAGGTACAGATGCCTGAAGCCTGGTTATGGGGCTCTGCTGCGGTTGTGGCGGTTGTTCTGTGCTGCTTTCTAATCCTTGGAGATTGACTTGCCATCTGGACCCCTGCCGCTGCCACAGAGTCACATGACATCCCCTTCCCCACATGACTTTGGGATCACTCCTACTTCTCCTCCCCTCAGTTGCCACCAGGCTGCATGTTCCTCACCCACAACTGCAGCACTGCGCTTGGGACCAATCAGACTGTAGGACTGGGGCTGTATGCACAGGCACCAAGAGGCTAAGGGGGTGAACTGCTCTTGGATGTAAGGTAGGAGCCACTCACAGGAGGTCAGAAGGAAAATACAGAGGGGATTTAAACAAACAGCATAATGAGAGTTTTCAGGGAGGTTAAAACACGCCCTTTAACAAAGGATGCTTACTGTCACAAGTGGCATAAGGGTTCAAGGGAAAACAATGCAAAAGAGACCTAAGGGTGCTCCCACCAAGGGTGCTCCCCACCAAGGCTGCTCCCCACCTTGAGTTTCTGTTCAAACTCAACGACACCTAGCGCTGGGGTGGATAGGGTATATGTTAAGAAGCAGAGCGAGCTTTGTAGTCAAAGTATTACCCAGACATTGTTCGAGCTTATTTAATTGGTTGCTAGGTAAACCAACCCAAAAGTCACTCGGTAGACATCTGACAAACATGTTACTGCCAGGAGTCCTGAACACAGCTGGAAATAGCAAACGTGACGTGTGTGGATCCCTCCCCCACGGCCGAGGCACTGAGTCTTCTTTAGACCCAATGGTCCCTCGTCTGCAAGGGCACATTTCAAGAGACCAGGGCCACTTACCACAAACAAGGCAGCAATATAGATATTATTTCACTGCACTTTTCCTTAGAATTAACTAGCATTTTTAAAAATTATTCATCCTAATTTCAGAAGAATAGAAGAATGTAAAGAAAATATAAAATTCGGTGATTCACCAAAGGACATCCTATGAGGTTTAATATTCTCCTTCCCTTCCTCCCTCTCCCTCCCCGTTCCCCCATGATTTTTTCTTCCATCATTAAAAATTCCTGAAATATGTTACAGGGCCAGGGAAGTAACTTAGTCGTAGTTACGTAGTTACTCACTCAAAGTGTGTGCGAGAGACCTAAATACAAAAAAAAAAAAAAAAAAAAAAAAAAAAGAAAGAAAGAAAGAAAGAAAAAAGAAAAAGAACAGAAATAGAAACACACTTCATTCTTTGACTTTATAATTTCTTAAATAGAGATAAAAATAATTTGCTAGCTATTTTTCATCAGATGATATTTTCATTGTTTGCTATTTTAAAAATATTTATAGATTGGTACACAAAAATACCTGAAATAGAAATATTCCGTTCCTTGACATAGTTGATGATCAGAACTCCTAATAATAAAGCTAAGGCTGACTCCCACAGTGTGTTCCTCATTTTAAAGGAAGTAGCTGTTGTTTATTAAAATGCTCACAGAAGAGCATTAAAATTATAATAAGTTCATTTTTAAAGCCCAGCAATGGAGAATTGGACATTATCAAATGTCTTCGGTGCCGTGGAAATAATTAGGCTTGTGCCTACTTGGACTATTGATGTGGTGCATTATTTTAATAGATTTCCTGATATTCATTCCAATATTAATACATCAGTATACATAAAGAATAAGACTACTTAGAGTGGGTTATTAAATTCAATCTCATACTACTGTTCTGAGGATCTTTGCAGATACGTTTACTCTGAATTGTTTGGCGGAGATAATTAGTATGGCGAGCCCGAAGACAGAACATGAGACACATTGCAGTCCTGACTGCGCTGCGCTGCTGAAACCGGGAGTGAACGCGTAGGGTATAGACACGCCCACGCTATAGACACGCCCACGCTAGATTTCACTGAGTTTGGACGGAGAGAAGATCTGCACCAGCAGCCAAATCTACAGCGTCATTCTGCGCATCGTGAAGTGGGATCTAACCGGCTGCAGGTTGGGAGCCTGTCTCACCAACGCCGCACACGGCTTAATTTGAGCAGTGGCTGGTGACATAGCACTCACATTAATTTCAGAAAAGCCCCCGTAGCATGCATCGGCCGCGACAGCCATTGATGTCTCAGAGGTGACACTCAAAAACAATGTGATTTCTTTGAGAGCTGGCTTGGCGGCTTGCAGAGGCACTTGGGAGAACACAATCGGTAGACAGCTCCAGAGGAGCTGGGTAAGGAAAGCCACCGGAGACAGCTAACATATGACACCTGAACTCTGAGAAACAGCCGACCTAGACTGCTCTGAGCAAACTGCCCCTCTTTTGGACAAGCTATTAAAATGGTGATGACAGGACCTTATTCTTTCTGAGAGGTTAGGCTCAGAAATATGCACTGTGTGCTGTGCCATTATAATAAACCCACGGTGACAGATGCCAGAAGAGCAGCCGCCTCTCCTCTCGGCGTAAACTGGTCAGGGCAGGGGAAGAGGGAGATTGATGTGGAACTGGAAACGTTCATGCCCTCATCTGGGTAGTGGTTGCATGGGTTATCAATACATAAAATGTATACATGTGCACACCGGGCAAGCTGTGTCCTGGGGGGGGGGGGGTCTGTGCAATATTCTGTAGATGTGAATCCTATTCCTAAAAAGTGGAATGGGAAAGAGTCCTCTGTGTCAAACAAAACACATGAACACTATCAACTTGAACTTTTTGCTAATGTAATTATCGTGGTGGTATCAGTGTGCCCTCCCTGCCCCAAGTCTCTGTTCAATGTATAAATTCTGAGAAAACAATGCTTTTCTTTCTCAAATAATAGATCTTTGCTAAGTAAGAGCAAACCTCTGCTGCTGACTAACAAGGGGCAGGAATACGGGGTAACAAGGGGCGGGCACAGGGCTTTGCATTTTATTTTTCATTAAGATTATGCTCACTTAACCACTAGATGGCACATCAGGCGCACACAAAGCAAGCTCACGTGGAATTATTCTGCCACAACTCAGCACAGACAACACTTAATTCCTAGGTGACACCCTTCCTTCTGAAAACCTCGTCAATCAAATGGGATGGAGGTGGGGGGGTGGTTCCTGTGTAAGCCTCTTTCTTAATACATAGGTCTGCCTAAAGAGATGCCTTCAAGGAACCCACACAATTCCCTAGAGATGAGCAGATATATTGTTGACCACACAGAGCTTGACTGGGTTGTGTTACTTTAACAGATGTTAATAAATCATAAGAATAAAATTTGCTTTGCCCTATTGTGATTTCTACTCTATTTTTTTATCTCTTATGAATGCTTTATCTTAAATTTGACTTTGATAGAAACATATAGAATGTGGTGGCTGAGTGCATATATTCCTGGAGAAGAGTTTATAATGTTGTTGATCAAAGAATCCACAGAAAAAAATCTTGTTTTAATAAAATATTCACAGCTGTTTTCATTAGCATCTAGAATACCAATACAGCTTAAAGCAGCCTGCTTGCTTGCTTTCTCTCTCTCTTTTCTTCCCTCCCTCCCTCCCGGACTCTGGGGAACTCAGAGAAATTGCCTCAGACATCTCTTTTAGCAGAGCCACCTCCAATATAGGAATGAAATATATCATTCAGATAGTGGCTCACAAGTGTGAATTTAAGCTTTTCTCTTATTACATAT